GAGTACCATGATATATTAGGCTACTTATGTACTCCAGATTTCACTGCATCTGGGACGATACTCAAGGAGGTGAGATGGGCAGGAGTACATATGTCTGCTCCTATTATGTCAGTGACTACACCAGATCCTATGGCCATAGATCCTTGCCCTATGCCCTAACCAGCAAAGTGGGAGAAAAATACCTTCCTGGTACAAGGGGTGTTCCATTTATTCTCTCATGTGATGACATCACATCATCATACAGCCTCAAAACTAGAGCCTTCTGGGCATAGGTCTGTCGTGTCATGGGTATACAGCCAGCAGTGAGGAGGCTTGGTAGCATGCAAGAGTGAGGTGCCTCCTTCATTTGTAGCTGAAGTGCTAAGATCTGCAAAGTAGCTAATTAAAAGCTTGCATGGGGCAGACACACAAACACACACACAGAAGATGTGGCATAATGTGGGGCAAGAGGTTCCTCTGGAAAGCAGAAAGGGAGGTGAGAGCTGGGGGAGACAGGGCTTGTGGTTGGGAATGGGTGAAATTAGGAACCAAGTTTGTGGGTGCCCTGTGACAAGGGAAGCTGAAGGGTATCCCCACAGTCTGTGGTCTGACATGCACTCAGAGAAACAAAAGCCTCCACGCCAGGCTTTATGTTTCACAATATGCTCCAGCTTTGGCCATGGAGATGGGAGTAGACAGGAAACTGGGCCAGAGAGGGGCAGGAGAGGAAAGAGAGTATGTTGAGGGGTGGGGAGGGAGGATGAAGTGGCGTGTCAGGGTCTAACAATGAACTGTCTGTGTCAGGAAAACAGTCGTACTCGGCAGAGCTATTTTTAGGGGTTCAGATCCCCTCCCCTCCCCTCCGGGTCTTCTACTCCCCACCTCCACTGCTCTTTTGTGTTGAGTGGCGCCTGGCAGATTGGTGGAGATTTTAAAGCCACAGATAGGAAAGAGCTCAAACAAAATGAAGGAAACGCAACAGGGAGGGGAGAGATGGGTGCCCAGAAATAGCTTGTGTGACGCCTCCGCCACAGCCCACGGCTTTTAGAAGGGGAAGAAAGACTTAGGCCTAATGGCCAAAGCTGTTCCCCAGGCTCTCTGACTGCTTCTGGGGTCACCAATACCTTGTCTGTGAGAACGGAGAGAACTGTGAAGTCATTATCCGTCCTGGTTCATTCACACACAGACGCTGGTTTGCCACATCCGCTCTCGAGCCCAAGGGCGAGGCATCACAGATCAGCAGTGAAGCAGGGTGGGAAGGTGCTCCACCTTCCCGCACGAACCTGTGGCCCTCTCTGACAGGGAGGCCTCTGTGACTAACTTCAAATTCTGACCTATTTTTACAGGTTCAAAAGGAAGGATTTAAATTAAGTGTCGTGGGGCCATGACTTCCTGATAGGGACTGTGGTACCGTGGGGCCACTGGCCATCAAGCTGTTTGTATGGCAGCGGGGACAAGGAAGTAATCTCTACAGAGAGATTGCTTCTGTGAGAACTCTGGCTTGGCTTGGTGTTGCTCTTATTCTGCAGACTCACTTTTTTCTTTTTTTTTTTTTTTTTAGGAAGGAGAGAAATTCCCCCTTCTTTTCCAGAGGTTTCAGCTTTGAGCTCTTTTGCTTTCCATGCTTCTGGCTCAACCTCTTTTCCTCTCCAGTTTTGTTCTCATCTGTGAAAGCTTTTCCAAGAGGAACACTGGTTTACTCCTTAGCCGTTCTGTTCACTCAATTAGAGAGACCTGCCCTGCCTCCCAGGCTCCACAAATCCAAATTTTTTATTTTTTCCTCTGTGGAGGACAACGTCGCCCCTTTCCCTGCGAAAAATCCTCTGGCTCAGCACTGATTTCAGGCTCCAATACGCAGTGCTTTGTTTGTAAAGCCTCCCTTGTTTGGTTCCCACTCACCTTGCCTGACCTTCTCCTCCTGGCCCCAGGCTCTTCAGGCAATCCCGCAATGACCTCCCCTCTGTCCTCTTGCTGAACCTCATCCTGGCATGGGGAAAGTCACCCCTGTAGGCCAGCCTGCCTGGCAAGGGCTCTCCTGGAGCTCCTCATGCCTTCTTTCACTCGCTGCAGAACTTGCCTCTTTCACCCCGCCTGCTCCGACATTTCCTTTCTCCGGCTCCCTCTTCCCTCCATGAGGTACCTGGCATGGGGAAGCAGGGCAGCAAACTTCAACGCCTGAAAGATCCTCTATGGATAAAGTGAGAATCCACCCTGGTTTGTTTCTAGGTCCTCTTCTATGCACTTGTACTTCAAATGCTGTTTTTTCTTGGTATAGGGGTGGCAGTCTCTCCCTGTCCCCTACCACAGCACCCCAGTGGCAGCGGCTGATGGTGGTCCTGTGGCCAGGCCTTGGACAGGCATCATCCACTTGTTGCCTGGCTGGGGTCAGGGCAGCACAGCACAGCCCCCAGATAACCAAAATCAGACAGCAGTGCTCAATTTCTGCAGCGTACATCGGCCAGTGGAACCCAACAGCATGGGTCCCAAAGATGGCACCTCCCTCAGTGGCTGTAGGGAACTGCCACAGAGCCAGCTCCAAGAAATGGTGTTTTCAGCTAAAAATGCCTGCTGGCCTGTGAGAAACAGCAAGAAGAAAGGGTGACAGGCTAACCCAGCAGTGCTGCTGAGTCCCTGTGCTCTGGGCTGCACCAAGGGAAGGGAGGGGGCCCATGTTGCATAGCAGCCATGCCACCCCCTGCGCCTGGCGCTGTAGCTGCCTTGCTGGTGACATGAGAAAAGTCTATACATGCAGGAGTTGATTTTACTCGTTAAATTTATTTTTTCTTGAAATGAAGCCATCCTCTGAAGACATCCTGTTTGGTTAGACTTGCAAGGGAGGCGTGAGGAAGGCATAACTAAGATGAAGGAGTGCATGGAGGAGAGGGCAGGAGTGTCACAGAGTGGGTCACCAGGCAGAGGGGATAGGCGAGGGCTGTGGACACAGACCCTGTTAGTGAGGCTGTCCGATGATGGAGGAGACCAGTGTGGGAAATTTAAATGTCCTGTTTGGTTCATGGAGGGAGGGAGGTGTCTGCAGAGGGGAGTTCAGGACTTTGAAGAAGATGGTGTGGTTATGTGCCACAGTGAAGCTGTTCCCCACTGTGTGTTCAGTGCTGGGGCTCAGCCCTGTGGGAGAGGGCTGGCATGCACAGGAGGACATGTTTCCTCCCTGAGGGGGCAAGGAGAAGGCTTTCTCCTCATAGAGAAGGCAGCCAGCCACCCGGGCAGCGGGAGGGCGGGCTGGTGATACATCCAGGTCTGAACGTCCTGCTGTCTGTCCGAGCCATTTGAAGTCTGCCCCTTGGCAGGCAGGCAGGATGCGCTGCGGCACGCGATGGGTTTGGCAGCATGCCGGCACAGGGAGGGATCCTGTGCACCGACTTGACATGAAGGTGCTGTGAGAAGCCCAGAATAAATTCAAGGAAGTTTTAAGTGTTTCATGAACACCTAGGGTGCCTGAGAACAGCCTTTGGTCTGGTCATAAGAGTTGAGTTTTCCCTCTTAGCCTGTAAACAGGAGCAGAAGGCTGGGAGCTGACAGGCCAGACATCTCTTTGGTACACTTCTGCAAATCATTTTCCCCTCAACCCATCAGCCAGCAAGCTGTAAAATGGGGATAATGATGATAATTGCGGTTATAAACTGCACAATAGGAGTTTTAATTGCTCAAGGTCCTTCACTAGGGCTCGGAGGTTTTTCTTGTATGTGAAGTGGTAACATCCAACACTTTTGAGGAAAAAACCAAAGTCATCATATCAACAGACAGAACCCGAATTGCTTTTGGCAGCAGTAGGGTCACCGTTGGAGGCTTGATTTCTCTGAAAAACGACTCTGTCAAAATAAAGGGGTGAGGTGGGTTTGCAGACGTCTGTGGAAGGAGATGGCGTTTCTCTGCTGTGTGAGGGTGCAGAGCCCAGGGTTGAGGGCGGAGGTGGGTTAAGGGAGTTTTTTGCTCCATTTCCTGGCCAATTTTCCTTCAAACCAAAACTACTCTTCTTGTCTTTGGTCTGATTTTTGGCGAGAAACTGCAGTTTCCTGTTTTTCATTTGTTTGTTTATTTTTCACCCAGACCCACACAGTTATATCTGGCACAGAGCAAGAGGGGGCAATGAAGCCTTAGCAGAGTTAAGTTTGCCTCCCTAGGTGAAGCATGTAGTCTGCCAGCATACCCAGCCCTGTGAAGAAGTCTGAATTTCTGAGATAAAAAAAAATGTGGAGTAAGTGCAAGTGACTGCTCTTACGAGCAGTGATATGAACGTTCTGAAAGTTAGACTAGAAAGGTGTTGGGGCAGGAGGGGAGCAAGGCTTGGGGCCCGGGGGCAGACTCATCCCATCTCCCTTCTTGCAGCTACTGGGTGATTTATGTTCCTTATCTCTAAATCCCTTTGTTGGTCAAGGGGAGCATTTTTTGGGCGCTGACTTGAAAGTACATGAACTTAGGTGCCCGGACAGCATCTGTTTCTGCTTGCTGGGGAGGAGGGAGATGAAGGTTTCCCTCCTCCCCCCTCTCTTTAGTTTCCCACCATTCTGCCCCCTGCTTGCACTTCGAGAGCTCCAGCCTGCACCTCAGTAGAGTAACGCAGATCCTGAAGTGACAGAATCACGTTCGAGGGCAGGAAGGTGCCTTGCGACGAAGGACTTGGTGAACAGAGGCAGAGTTTTATTGAAGCAGCTCCTGGTCTCTCTCTTCCTTGCCGGCCCCTCCTTGGGCCTTTTCAGAGCCGAGCGTTGGTAGTGCAGGAAGCGTCTGACTGCGCCGTGGGCTGCAGCTCGGCTCTCCGGGATTTCCTCTCAGGCAGTCCGTTATCTGTCGACTGTCAGGACAGGCTTCCCTCTTCCTCCCCTCCCCGTCCCCATCTCCGTCCCCCAACTCCTCTCCCCGCCTTCCCTCAGCCTCTCGTGTACACACACACACACGCACACACACACATTTTACTGCCAAAAACTGTCCTCCGCCCCCCTCCTCAGCTAACTTCCTTTCAGCATTTTTTTTTGAGCTGGATAATCCTAGGATTTGTAAAACGGGGGAAAGGAGAGAGTGAGCGAGCGGGAGTCAGGACAGGAAGCTAGTTTCTCATTCCTCTAACTGTCCGAAGGCAGGAGGAGGGGAAGGGGGGGAGCCAAAGAGGAGCCTTGTGCAGACTCTTCCCCGGTCCCTTTTCATTAGTCCGTTTGAACTTCCAGTCTCCTCTGAAAGCCAAGAGAAGGACAACAACCAGACTGGGACGCTTTCAGCTGGAAGCAACAACACCACAGCTGACGAAACCCATAAGGTGGCCGTGGAGGGTCCCGGGACCACGCTGAGGGAATAACTTCCCTCCTCCCCGCATCATCATCTTCCCCCAACTTGCCAGCTCCGATGTGGGCACCCGTCCACCACCCACTTCCCTCTGATGAGAACCCTTCCGGGCTCGGGCTATGATCGCTGCTGCTGCCGACTGGGGAGCCTCCTCTCGCCCTGACCTTCCTCTGCCACAGGAGAAGCCCAACATCTGGTGGGGATTCATGTTTACTTCTTTGGCTGGACGCTGTACGGGACCCCCGATGTTGCTCCCTGGGAGCAGGACACGGGCGGTGGTCTGAGGAGAAGAGCGAGATTTTTGTCACCCAGCGTGAGGCCGGGGGGAGGGGGGCAAGGCAGGAGGGGGGCCAACCTCTTTTGGGACTAACCTCATGAAGAACAAGGGAGCCAAACAGAAACTCAAGAGGAAGGGAGCCGCGAGCGCTTTCGGCTGCGACCTGACGGAGTATCTGGAGAGCTCTGGGCAGGATGGTAAATGCCTCTTTATTCTCCCTCTGGTTGCGGAGGAGCAGAGCGCGCGTCCCCCTTTTTTTTTTGTTACTGGTAGGACTGCAAAACGGACCTTTCCCATGCCTGAGGGTAGACAACCTGGAGCTCGTTTTTCTCTGGGAAGTTGAGTCACTGCCCAGTTACTCACAATGAATGAACGATCGGAAGATTGCTTTGGTGACACGTTTGCATGACCCTTGCATGAGTAGTGCTAAGCATGGACAGAGGTGGACAGATGTACGTTGCGATGCCCTCTTCCATCCTCCCGGTCGTGGAAGGGAATAGCAGGCTTTTAGGGAGCTAGATTCAGAAATGAAAAGTGCGCTTAGCGTTGCCTCCTCCCGGGATTCAAAATCCTCCTGAAGTCCAGGAGACTAGAGCGTTGCAGGGCTGTAGGGAAGAACTGGGAACGTCCCATCTGCCCCTCCTGGATGCCAGTGCAGTTCCCATATTGTCCTTTCACTGCAGGATGGAGACAGAACAGAGACTGGGAAGCTGGGGGTGTGTGTGTGTGGAGTAAGGGATGGGTGTGAGGTGTAGGGGGCAGCTGAGCTAATATTTTTACTACCGTGACTGTTATCTTTCTCTCCTCTCCTCCTCTCCCTGACCTCCGTGCCCCCAGGTATCAGATGAAAACATGGTAGCTCAGACAAGAGCTAACTCCAGTAAGATCAGAGGGTCCTGAGCTTGAAAGGGTCAGTCCCTGATAAGGGAAGGAGCAGAACGATTTTTCTTAAAGAGGGCTGGATGACAAGAGAAGCAATTGTGAGTTTGGCATACAGAAAGACCTGCAGTTTAGCAAGAGGAAAAATAAATATAACCCTGATGTTAGCATTATGTTCCAGGTTTAGCATTATGTTCCAATTTGAATTAACTAACTTTTACTAATGTCAGGCTACTCTGAGAGGAAAAAAAAATGCCTCTAGCAGCAATGCCAGCTTTGTACGGGGAGGGCTGTACAATCAGGTCTTTCATTTGCTGATGAGTATGGCTGATGGAGTGCACTGGCTGAGGGATGGACTGCATAGCAGTAGTCCTTTCCATCGCACAGTGAAGAGGGCAGTGCATATATCACTAAGATAAAATGTTATATATCGTGCATTTACTTAGATACAGGGAAAAACAGTCATTCAATTTCATTGTGAGTTGTCTGTAACAATTACTGTATCTTTTAACTTGTAGAGCCCTTAAAGGCAGTTGAATCGAAATAGCAAAAATAACAGACTTAATGAACTGGTACCACTTTGCCAGTGCAAGGTACAGATAGATAAATTCCATCCAGTGCTAACATGAGCTGCCACGGTGGAGGAAAAATTTACAGCTGTTTACAGGAACACTGAAAAACAACGCCAGGAAGGCAGGCACAGGCAATATATTCTGTTGAAGCAGCGAGGGGGATTTTAAGGGGAGAAACACAGTTACTGCAGCTGAAATTAGGCCAGAACAGCAAAATTTATTACCCGAAATCCCATAATTATTTTTTTTTAATAGTTTTTTGGGCACAAGAAAGAAGGACACTGTCTCAAGTCTCGTTTGTGGGATGGTTCACACTTCCAACCTACTTATTTCTCCATGCTGAGTAGAAGTGGGGGAGAATATGAAGTTTCTTTCCCTTTATGCTGTACTGCTATTTGCTGAATAGCACATCTCGTTGCCCAGTGCCGTGGGATCCAGAAATGAAAGACTCAATTGTTATAGGTTTATTGGGAAGGGTGTAAGTTAGATTGGTACAATGCCATTTGTCAGGACAGGGGGAGAAGAAACGAGAGTATTAGAGATATTAATTTTGTTGCCAGTAGGGCTCTCAGGATCAATAGGAATGTGACCAACTGTGACAAAGTGGCATCTTGGGAAGAAATGGAAGTTCAGATGTCACCACGACATCACAGACTTGCAACCTGTAACTACGAAACAAAATTAGAAGAGCATTTGAGGTATGAGAGGTGATTGATTTGAGGATAGTTGAATTGTCCTGCTAAGAATTATTTCCAGTGACAAGCCAGTGGTCCGGCAAGCAGGGGCTTCGGTAGAGATGTAAAGCAGTAACTTTCTCTCTGCTTTAGATAGTACCCTGTGTTTAACTGCTGATGCATGCTCTGGGTGATCCCTACTTTGAAGCAATGAAGATGTAAGACTGTTCACAGTATCTGGGAGTGAGGAGGAAGGGGAGAGCACTTTGGCTGCTGTCCAGAAAACATTTTGTTGCAGACCTTTGTGAAAGAAGGTTTTAAAATGCACCCGGAGGGTTAACTGGAAAAGAAGAAGAGGCTGTAGGAGAGTCAGGACACAAGTCAGATCGGTTGTGCTTTCATACTCAGGCCTGCTTTACACCATCCTGTAGTGCTGCTTTGTGTGACTGGTCCTGCGCACTTTGCTGGTGCTGAGGATGGCAAAGGGAGTACAGGGGATGGCCAAGGCTAGTGTAGATGGTTCAGTTTGGCTTTTTTCCCTCCGGACGAATACATGGCAGTTACAGTTAGGGGGTGCTGCACTACTTGTGTGAGGCTTTGTGGAGGAGATGCAAAACTAGAGTCCCTACATGCTTGTGGTTGCTGAAGAGCAGCTTGTGCTTTCTTCAAGGACCTTAGTCCTTGTGTTGTTGCCAAATTCCAGTGGAGAGAATTATATTCTGCTTAAGGTATCAGCATTTCCTCTCCTGTCGTTTAACTGTTTAATAACTTGCTATGGTCTGCTTCAGAGATGGCTGCGTTTCAGTGAAGGGTGAAAAGATCCCGCTGTCTCCTTTACCAGACAGATGTACCTAAGGCTCTGTTATAAAGAGCTTTATAATACAATAAAAGCTGTGGCCGAACTACAAAGTATTTAAGAGTGGTGTAGATGGAAACACTTTAGCAGATACAGAGGGGTAGCTCAGGAGACTAAAAATGTGATACAAAGCCTTCAGCTGTAAGTTGATTCTTCAGATCTGACCGAGGTCAGTGGTGATGGACAGATATTGCTGTCCGGTAGCTGGTTTGAAGCTCAGATGTGTTGAATTTACTGTATTTCAAGTCAGTTCCTGTCACTACCGCATTTGACCCTACTTGGCCTTTTCCTGCTGGCAATCTCTACACAGAGACTGGTTGTGCTCCTTATGGGGGCAGACTGCTATCAGTGCTCTCAAGCATTTAAAATCATGACTCAGGCCACAAAAATCATGATATAAAATAAAATCAGAGCTGGGTTCTTTTTCTTCTTTCTGTTTTCTGAAACGTCTGTGTGCTTCTGAGTTGGGTTTTCAAGTCCTTCTGCTGGCAAGAGGGCTAGAAACTTGGGGAAAAATTAGCCTTTCTTCCTTCCCACTAAAATTCTCAAACAAGGACTTTAATAGCAGTGGATTTGAGGAAAAGCTCACAGAAGACATAAAAGAATGGTGGCTGGCAATACCAATGTGTAAAAGTTGTCTGATTTCATATAGTCCCTGCCAGCACTGAATCCACATACGGAGGCAAGTGATCTTTTGGAGCATCGGAGCTTCACTAGAAAACAGTGTCAGGCTTTGGGCATGGATTGGCACCCATGCAGGAGGAATTTAGTGCTAATGCCCTCTACTAAAACATTTTCCTGTGTCAAAATTTATTAAAGTGTTGCACAGGTGCAATGGAGCTAACAGATATTAGCCTTGGAAGATTAACGTTAGAGCCATGTTTTGGTCTTTTGATAACCAGCCTGGTTTCCAGAGGAGAAAAGCATGTAGTGTCTCTAATGAAGTCAATGGCAGCTGCACATCAGGCCCCCAGTTCCTGTAATGACAACAGTATAATTTTCAAGTGACAGATGGGTCAGTGGAGAAGACAAGTTACAAGGTTGTGTACAAACCTTAGTTGGGGCAGGATGGTCTGAACTGCTTAAGAAAAGGGTAGTCTTGCTTTTGGTTATATCGCAGAAGTGTTGTAAGAGGGGGCTGAAAAAGTCAAAATTCTTAAAGTGGGAGAGACTAAGTCAAAATGGAGTTTAATATTCCAAATACTTCTAAATGTGGGACATTCCAGTTGGGATTTCAGGTGCACAACCAGGTACAAATCCCACTTTTAAAAATGGAAATAAACACAGCATCTACAAAAAATGGATTGTACTGGTAGAACATAATCCAGTCTTTTTGCATGGGAACCACTACTGATTTAGACTCACCTTGGCTTCATTTTCTTAGAGCCAGGTAGGACTTGGAGAAAGGCTGAATCGTTTCCTTCATTTCTAGTGTGATGGTGTCTAGATGTTGGGACAGGAGGTGCTGCCAGGACTGCAAAAAAAACAATCTCAGGTTAGACGCCTTGTTCTTAGGGTGCAGGTCAGCTCTGTGTGTCCAAGCTTCCCCTATTTGCTGGAGAGTTAATTCTGCTGCTGCTGTACCCCTCTGTGGTTTCTTGCACATCTGTTTCCTGCCTGATGTTGTCTGGTTGGGATGCAATGAGCTCAGTTTTTCCCCTTAACCCACTCCCACACTCCCCACAGCTCCCTCAATGACTCTCATCCTGAGCCTGTAGCACCCAAAGCACTTTCTACCTCTTTGTCTAATGCTGCTTATTGGCTTTGTTTGTTATTTGCTGTAGAAATAGGGCTGCTTCATTTGAGGAGCTCTGAAGCCACCAACTGACTTGAGGCTCCTTCTTGCCATGGCAGAGAGCAGGGCTGGCCAGCAGCCCTCCCTGAGGCTGGGGAGGGAAAGGGAGATACTGTCTGCAAATGTAACACAGGGAGACGGGTGAGGAAGATTGTAATATGGGGAAGGAGAAAACATGGGTAGCCAATATGATATTTTTCTATGCTGTGTGGCTGTGCAATAACTGCTTCTGCCTTGTCACAGCTGCATTTGAATGAAAGAGTAAGGAAAGTTTCCATTTAGTGTTGTTGGTCTCATAAAAACATGGTAATTCTGGCATACGCTGGCTCCCCAAGCACAATCTTAACCACTTTTGAGAGCTGCCGTAGGTCTAAGGTAGGCAAGTACTTCTGAGGGAAAACAGTAACAATAATTCAGCAGT